CACATTTCTTGGCAACTGTCTTTTCCCCTGATAAAAGCAGAAAACTGGCAGCTTATTCCCATAAATGGCAGAGCTCCCATTAGAGAAATCTGATGTACTGCTGCTCCCTCACCAAAATCCACTGAAGATCAATCTCAAATCAGCCCAATTGCTGACCACATCCTTCCATTGTATGTGACAATGAGCACTGTCGTATGGATGGGGTCTCCTGGCCTCCCACATGGCTTTGTAATGTCTCCCTGCTTGCTCTCATAAAGAAGGATGCTCTGACAGCTCTTCCAAATTAAGAGAACCTTCTGGAATAGCAGCTCTCTCAGACTGCTACATGAAATTGCCTGTATTCCAGGAGGTTTTTAAAGTATAGGTGCTACAAAATGAATACCCCATTCAAGACAGGATATGCTGTTAAGCGTTACAATTTAGATATGCGTGTCTGAAAGTTATGGATTAGCCTCATTAATAACTATCAAAGAGAGGTCTAGAAATAATTCATTGCTTAGGTACAATGCAGGAGACCCCAGTGGATCACTCCTGTCATTTTCATAGAATCATAGGATGGCTTGGGTTGGAAGTGACCTTGAAGATCGCCTAGTTCCAACCCCTTGCTTTGGGCTGGTTGCTGACCACTAAGTAGACATCAGATCAGGCTGCCCAGGCCCCATCCAGCCTTGCCTTGAATACCTCCAGGGATGGGGCATCCACAGCTTCTCTGGGCATTTTATTCTGCAGAAACTGTTTGTTTGGTTTTTTTTTTCCCCCATGGGAAATTAAAATAAAAGCTAAACTTCTCTCTGAGCATTTTTACTTAACCAGAATCTCATTAAAAGAGGAGTTCCTGGTTTATGAATGTGAATGTATGGCTTGGTGTAGCACTCACACTGCTCTGTGTCTCAAGCTAGCATCAAGCTCAGGCATTGCATGACCAAACTGGGAACTGAAATGCTGTGTAATGCCAGCAGCTGAACTGAGAAACAGGACTGAACCAAGATGCAATGCTGCACAAAAGCAACTGTGCTGCTTCCAGTTTCAGAGCTGGTTTGACCAGCAAGAACTCAGGCATCTCTGCAGTGCTCTGATGTGTCATATAGCAAGCATGTGGTGGGAACAGAATGACGCAGTAAAAGGCAAGTGAGGCAGAATGGAGCTGTGTAAGCCTTGGAAGAATGCGTGAAGTTTGGAGAAGGGAAAACAATGCTTTCACTGTCTGTATTTGTACTGAAAATCAAGATCAAGCGAGCTTTTGCCCTTCTGCTTCACTCTTCTGCTCAAGTGATGGGTGTATCAGGAGTTCAAGAGTTGGAGAAAAATAAAGAGTCAGACAGAAATATGTGAGTGGACAAAGAGAGAGGTTGAGTCTCAGCAAAATAAACAAAAATAAAAAATTCAACAGAGAGTGGGATGATAAAGATTGACAGATTTCAAGTTGACTTCACATTGCATGGCTGGTTCATGTATTATTGTGTCTAGGACTTAAAATTGGGTAAGTCTGACTGGGGGAACGATTCCTGTCAGAGAAGCAGCTGTTGATTGTGCTTCTTTGCTGTCAAAATACAGAAAAATTGCTGAATGAGCTTTCAGCTGCTCAGTGAAAATGAATTTCTAGACAACTGCCAGATTTGGCTGTGTTCCCCAACCCCAGATACAGGATGCACAGCACTGACTATTCACTTTCAGATAACAGAACTGTGTGAAACATCCTCTGTAATGGCTTTAATCATGAGACAACATAGAAACTAATTACATCTTGAGAACATTCCGATAACTCTGTGTTGAAAATAGCGAATGAGAAGATAGTTCTATATGCTGCAAAGGATTTCAGTGTTCTTATTGGAACATAAAATTGCAAAATCATAATTAAACTAGTATGCTACTAAAATAGAAAGCATTACAATTGAGATGTCATTATTTTACTTAAAAGAATTTGATGAGTACAGTCTAAAATTAGCTTTTAAACTTTATTCCATAATAAATGTTTACAGTTTATATAGGATTCACAGAAGATTGGTTACAAGCTACTTTTTAACAGTTGTTGCTTCCTCACATGACAAATAATGGGTTTTTTTTTTTTTTTTGGTCAATTTTGCTGAAGAATCCTATACAGAAAGTAGTGATGTAAAATTATGGCTACAGAATTTAAAGGATCGACCTCCACTTATCAGCAGAGGCTCTCAAAATGCTGCTCAAAACAGGGAGCTGAGTGCTGCATTTAGCTTCTGCTTGCATGCTGAAGGAATATAAGGAACTTGCTTTTTTAGTGCAGAGTGTGAACAGTGATATAGGGAACCCTTTAAACCACTGCTATCATCATTGGTTTCAGGGGGAGCAAACATAATTCAAGTTTAGATGTACTGAGCCAAAATAAGGGACCTTCAGGAGATGTTCGGCACAGGTTTAATGGAATGAACACAAGTTAGTTGTTGGAAATATGCAAGTAAAGATCGGAACAGAATTAACTCATGGAGATTGATTCATACGAAGCTGAAGGTGTAGAGGGGAAAGTTGGTAGTACATTTGGAAGGGAAAATAGAAAGAGAGAAACCACAAGAAGACAGCAATGTGAGACTCACAGGAAATAGATTTATAACAAAACATTAATTATCCTTCAGAAACAAAGACAGGAAGAAATATGGTCCATAGAGAGTAGGAATGAAATAGCTGCAGTCAGGTAGATATCTCCGGGTAGAGATTCTAGAGAGAAAACTGCATTTCTTTTTGCTTTTATTTACAAGGGTAATATTTCAAGGAAGAACTCCAGGAGTCCCAGCTATTCATTGGTAAGGCATAGCAGTGTATGTTATATTAGTGCTCATCAAGTGAAAACCAATGAGGGAAGGAGATGTAAAAAAAAATAAAACTGTGAGTCTCTTAGCCACAGTTTAAGAGAGTAAAATTTACTTCAAAAAGTCTAGTGCTCAGAGACTACAGGAAATATAATTGCATTGTCATTGCTATTCAGAAAATTAAGGTGTATCAAACCTAAATACCTAACTCAAGTAATAGTTAATAACCACACTTTCACCTAACAAGTTCATTTTTTGTCCTTTTGATAGCAGCAAAATGGGAATGAATTCATGTTCCCTGGCAACAACAGTGCTTTCAGAGCAAGTTGAACAGTAATACGACCATAAGTACCCTATTTTCAGGGTATTGCTAGTCTCTTCATCAGAATTTCTGAAAATAAGTTTCTGCAGGTCATTCTCTGACTGTGTCACCATAAGGACCTGGTGCTTGTGCCTCTGGTCCCACAGGGAAATGTCCCCGTTGGGACAGTGGCACCTGCGGCCAGATTCTGCTGGCAACAACCATCACTAATTCTGTGGTCAGGTCACATGGTAAATTGCTTCTGCATCGGAGCCTTCTGGCTTGGCTGTTGGAAGGATGTTCCACAGCCTAACAGATACCACCTTAACATGAAGTATTTTGTCATGTTCAAATCATGTTCTGCTTTTTCCTAGGCTTTACTTACCAGTGGCTAAGTGGGCAGTAGCCCATTATCCTTCTCAGGATATGGTGAATATTTATGTTCCCACTGGACATCACTTTACATCATTGTGTTGAGCTGCACAAGTTGAGGACTACCATTTCTTCCCACTTGGTAACCCGATTGTTTTAAAATTCTTTGTAATTTGTCTGTATTGTTGATATGGAACAAAATGTTGCATTTGAGGTATAGCCCCACTGGTGCCAGATGGAGGGAGTACTGATGGGTCAGTCTGTGTGGACAAGTCACGTGCCCCCAGATTTTTATTTGCTCTTCCGCAGTATCAAATGATTGCTTCATGAACCGTTGTCCATCCATTATCACCTCCAAGACATCTTGGAGTATTTTCTCTCTGCTGTATTTGCTTGCATTTTTCTGAGCTCGGTGTTAGCTTATTTTTGCCAGCCATATACCTAATTTATCTGGATCATTTTTGTGCTTTCTCAGTGCCAATTGCTTTTCTTAATTTAGCTATCATTACTAAGTTTAATTAATGGATTGCTTGGTTTTGCTTCTGAAATATATCTGAAAATTCAGACCAAATATAAAAACAACAGTTAAAATATTCAGCTAGATGCTTTTCACCAACTGTGCTTTTCTCAGTTCTGTACTATGCTCAGAGAAGCTGTGGATACCCCATCCCTGGAGGTGCTCAGGGCCAGGTTGGATGGGGCCCTGGGCAGCTGAGCTGGTGGGGGGCAGCTCTGCTGACAGCCAGGGTTGGAACTAAATGATCTTTGAAGTCCCCTCCAACCTAAGTCATTCTATGAGTCTATGTTGCTGTTTTATCATTTTTTGCCTACACAGTATCTTTCCCAGATTTCTATCTGATTAGATAATATGAGATCTGCTCATACTTTATGAGTTAATCTTTTTTTTTTTTTTTTAAATAACCCTATATAGATAGTTCTGAGATCTAGGGAGTCTAGCAATAGAATAAATCCAAATTGACTCTTCTGCAGGATGTGATTGATGGTTGAAATGAGCTCTCCGTTCATAATAAGCTGGGAAAGATGAGAGAGGTATGGTGTGATAAGCACGAAGAAAAGAGAGGAAACAAAATTTTCGGGGCTTAACCACGTTTTGCTCAGTTCTCTGCTCTGTTTGTCAAGGACTTGTACTGTAATGTAGGCCCTGAGGCCAGAGCTTAAAGAATTTCAGTCCTGTACTGGTGTGTTACAGAGCTGATAGAAGAGATCACCACAGCTGTTACTGAAAAAAAAAAAAAAAAATTGAAGTAAAGCGTAGGCCTCAGGTAATTAATTTCTATAACTCTGTTAGTGTAAATGTTTTAAGAGCTGATGGTAACCATTTGCATACCTTTTTTAGCCTGTCTTAAACGTTTTACAAAATTTTCTCAAAATGAACTTTCTAATTTAGGGGAGTAAAAGGATAATTTGTAGGTAACCTCAAGCCTATGGTACTGTTGTTTTTAAAATATGCTAATGTAGGTTTCCACAAGCAAACAGTTGTGAATTATTTTTTTATTTAAATTTTCACATTACTGTTTTTTCTCCTTGGCTACTTCAGATGAGTTAACTGCTGAAGAGGAAAGCTCTAAGGCCCATTTGTTTTTCAAAGAAGTGTCTTTAAAGCGTCAGGAATGTTTGCCAAAACCAGATGTCATCCAAATACTATTGCTTACAAATGCAAGTCTTTTGCAGATTGTTCTTCAAAGTTTTGCTATTGTGCTGTTCTTCAGGTAGTTCTAATGCAAGATTAATTTTAGAACTGACAGTTAAAATGGACGAAAAGTCCTTGTCCTTCACCATGTCTGCTACAGAGTATTGTTTTTCATGATTTCATCATAAGTCTCATGCAATCTGGGATGTTAAATGCCATGTCTCCTAGAAAAATGAATATAAACACATAGTTATAGGTGGTGCCAGGTCTTAGTAAACTAACTGTCTACAAAATTAGGCTGCAAAATGTGAACCCCAGATCCAAGAAAGATATAAAACACATTAAACTAGTCCATGAATTCAGTTTTTAAAATTCACACATGACTTCTTGATGATTGAAATAGTACTATGGAAAATATATTTTTGCAAGTAAGCAAAAGGGATCCAGGCAAGATGACAGCTTTTACTATTGTCTAAATAAAACAGTAGTTCTTTTTCTGCCCCTTTGTGGTTACCCAGACTTTGGCTTTAAGCTCTTCTTTATATTTCAGTCTAAGCAGATGGAGCTGAAATGGGCCGTACCTTGGCTCTTCCCACCTTGATTGTTACTCAGAGCAACAGAACCAGCAGCAAGTGCCTTTCTTCACTGCTGCTACAGACCTAAAGCTGTCATTAACCTCTCAGAGATTCCGCAGGAGGGGTTCTGAAATTACAGTACCTGTTGATGCAGTTTACATACAAAATCTGTCACATTCAGGTGTTTCTAGATGTGTTTATTTCTTTGCAGGCTTCATGCAATTAGTCTTCTGTATAGCGTGGTTTGCATTAACAGAACTCACAGAATCACAGAATCACAGAATCGCCAGGGTTGGAAGGGACCTCAAGGATCATGAATCTCCAACCCCCCTGCCACACGCAGGGCCACCAACCTTTCCACCTAATGCTAGACCAGACTCTTTCTGAATGCTTGCAAAACTACCCAACTATACACAAGCCAGACACCTAAAAAAACGTATTCTGCCTCTGCTAATTAATACTAACTGTTGATAAAATCAGATCAAAATGATGCTCATTTACAAGCTGATGTCCTTCCATCCTGTGCACTGGTATAGAGTCCCAGGAATAAAGTCTTGCAACTGCTTAACTAGAAGGTGACCTGAAGATACCCTAGGGAGAACAAAAACATGATTTTAATTCTGCCAAGTGCAACATTGAACTGTCTATTGTCAGCTCCACACACCTGGGGGCTTATGGTGGTATCAAAGGAAATTTGTATGAATGGAAAAATTAGGTAAAGAGGTGTCAAAGTATTAGAAGACTGATAATTAACAGATGCATCTGTACTAGTTATTAATGTGTGGTGAGGAGATCTGTGAGCTAACATTGATGGGAATAACTTAACTGGGGTGTACACTGAATTAATGTGTCTCTCAGGACTGCTGCTGGTGAATATATCTTTGGAAATCCAGCACATTCTCAGCAATGTGAACCAAGTCACAGTCCTTTCAGTGCTGTGCACTGTGAGCCTCGTTTAACACAGGATATACATTCAAAACTGGAAAGATATTTCTGCAAAGATATGTTCCAACCAGTCCTTCCATGCAGCCCCAACCTAAAGGCTGTTCTCATTGCTATCAGTTCAAATGTCTCTTCCGTAATTTGCACAGGGACCTAAGTGAGCTTGAGAGAGAAGGGGAAAATCAACATGATCACAGTGTATGACAGGATCACCCATTCTTGTTTTCTATGAAGTGTATGAAACATTGTGTAGGTTTTATCCCGCAATCCATTCCTGCTGCTTCTGCAACAGCCAGAGGATGTTTCCCCACTCTACAAGCCAGCTCCACGCAGCCTTTTTTCCTGGCTCACTCTATTATTCTACTCACAGTGGTGATGGAAAAAACCTTCCTGCAAACTGGCAGCTGTGGTTGAATGCAGCAGTGTTCTTTAATGGAAAGCAGTAATAAAAAATAAAAAGGTTCATGGAGCATACCCTAGCAAAGCGTGACTTACTGTAACGGTCATTAGAGTCATTTCCATTTCTGTGTTTTAGATATTAAGACATAATATGCTGCTCTTAGTCATCCTGTTCGTGGAGATTAATAAAATATAGCTCTTGAATCGCTAAAAATTGCAGTGCATTTCTGAGTTCCTGTGGTACAGAAAGTGTCTCACTATCACTGCAACTTGAAAGCTATCTGGCAACTTCGTTTATGACAAGACATGAGAAGGCTTTGTTTGTGCAGAAGGATATTTTCCTTTCTGAAGTAAAACCTTTCCTCCATGCTGGTAGCTGAACTACATGGTATTCATGAAGTTGCAGCACACTGAAAAGGATTTATAGCAGTTAATTTCTTCTCTACCTACTGAGTTCTAGACTCTACCCTTACACTCGTTTTTATTTTGGATAGAGAGTTTACAGCTAGCTAATAATTAACTGTCCACTTGCTTTCCTGGGGGAAACAGTTATTTTATAAAGTTTCACAATATGCTGAAATCTACTGTCTCAGAGATTCAGCTGCACGATGGATCCTTGAGATAAAAGTCATTACTTTGCAGCTATGGGAGTAGGGAATTACATTATATCTTTCCAAACTGTATTTTTCTCTATCATATTCACATGCAACAGGATCAGTTCCTTCATGGGAGCGACAGCCTTCAAAGAATTAGATCAAGATAATGGATGACCAGGCAAAGTGACTGCCAGGCTGCATAAGAACAGGATGGGGTACGTGTGTGTGTTTGGAGAGCAAGAAAGGAAAGCACATGGGAGTGTCACAGGAAAGTATGTGTACAACGATCACAAAAAGTGGAGTGCTGTAGGGATACACAGAAGTGAATCCATGATAAGCAAGCTTTAAGATTTTCAATGGATTTGTCTCGATATTACTGCATCATTATATTTGTGGAAAACAGTGCTACACATCAGAGTTGTAGGACCTCCTGCCATTGGCAGCTTTCACTGCTCTCTGTCCAACACCAATGACGGAACAACAGGTACATTTCTGCTTTTCTTTTCTCTGTGACAAAGCTATGTGCAATGTTTGCCTAATTTTTCACTGCAGTCAGACTCGTGTAGAATGCCTGCAAAAACTCTGGATTTAAATACAAGCCAACTGCACCAGTGAACTGCAATTTTATTTACAACATTTCAATGCATTAGTGAGAATAGAGAATTTAAGATACGTACAGGTGTTCCTTATCATCTTTGCTATGACAGACAATGCACCTTTGGCAGCCTTAACTATTTGGTGGCTGTAAAGCTGTTCCTTTGTTCTCAGAGATACGGTGAAGATGAAAACATACCCAGCACCCAAAATAGAGAGCAAACAGCCCCTTTTGTTGTCACTTGGCTGCTGCTGCACTCCACCACCGCCATGTGCCATTATGCTGCCGCTTGTCCTGCTGGCACATGTCAGGACAAGCCGTCTGCAATCAAGGCAGCAGATGGTTCTTTGGGTCGCCTAGAGCCAGAGTTGGCATGGACACATCGTTTATGATGCTGCTAAGAGAGAACAACATGTTGGCACGGACATAATAACAAATCTCTGGATAATGAAGGCATCCCGTACCCCGTTAAGCCATTCCCTCAGAGCAGTTGTCCTCAAGTTTGTGAATAACGTGTTTTTTTTCTCTTGTGCTTTCCTGTTTCATATCTGGTAGTACATATGCATTCAGTCTATAGCCCATTCATTTAAATTCAATTAAAGGAGACTTTGTGGAATATTTCAGGTTTTGACTATGGTTGTGGACAGAGCAGCACGAGTTGCCTTGAAAACATCCGTGACTGCTGGGCCAGCGATAGAATTGCCAATGCTGAATTAATGGCCAGTTCATTTCTTTCTGTTCTGCCAAGCTTAAAAGAGGGAAAGCAAGACATTTCTGAACAGTGGCTGACACAACTGTTAAAGCAAGTCCTCCCAAATGTTTCAGGAATGCAGAAATTTCAGGAGCCCACTGCTACGCATATTGCATTTCCAGTATGATATTTCCAGTAAAAAGGAGTGAAGAGGAAAGACAGACCTTCCTTCCATGTGTTGAACTCCATATCACATCACACACACACACAAATATTTCCAGGAAATTTTTCCCTGTCGTAGACCATTTCATGTTTTAATGTTCACAGTATGTTGTCTGAGAGCGCTCCACAATTGTTAAGCAGAGCAAGGCAATGAATTATGTTAGTATGCATTACAGAACACATGCTCTGTCAGCCAGATCGCTCGTTATGGCCAAGTGTGGATACAGAGTGCTGATATTGAGTGCTGAACTTACATTAATCATGCAAACTTTCCGATCAGTCCTCCATGCCTTAAATGATCTGCAATTAATATCAAATGACTTTCAGGATGTGTTTTCAGTTCAACTCTGAGGCAAGGCCAGTTGTCAAAACTCAGATATGGCACAAGAGTGTCTTCTCAGGGAGGAAGGAAAAGGACAGCAGAGATGATGTTCAGTGGTTTTCTTTTCAAGGCCAGTGATCCCATTATTCCTGCTGTGTTAAAGTCCTCTTTGTAGTGGAGTCAGGTGGTCAAGAACAGAAGGGTTACAAAAGAAGAGTGGTGATGGATCTAGATACGTATGGCTAGCAATTTTCTTATTCGAGGAGCAGAAATTTCTTTCTTCTACACCTTCTCCTGTTCAATTCATCTTTTGTTATCTGCTACTTGTATGCAGACCAAGTACTGCAGTCTATTCTGTGCCTTTGAAAGAGCTGTCTGACGGATCTCATGTATCTCTACCAGTTTACTGGCTGTTATATCTGGGGATGGGTAAGAAGAAAGTAAAAAATCCTTCTTTGCCTCTTGAAATACATTTTCCTTAAATTGCCAGTCCTTAGCTTTTTAAAACACCAAGTTTTTAGCAAAATAATGTGTGTTGCATTACTCCTCCCTCCAAGTTTTCATCCTTTAGGAAAACTGCTTCTAGCTTGCATTTGCAACACAAAAACCACAGGCATACTCTTTGCAAGGGAGAGGTGAGGTTGTCATGACTTCATGACAAACATCAAGGGAGACAGATTGAAAAAATGCTGCAGACACATCACAAAGATTCCATGAGAGTGAGCAGCAGCAGCAATGCCAGCTACAGCACCTCTGTACCTGAACCTAAGCACTGAAATAGATTCATTTAACCCTTCAACTCTGATGCTGTCTCATCATGTGTAAATGTACATGTACAACTACAGTTTTGGCAAATGTTTAAAAAAACCTGATCTTTGAACTGGAGATATCCCAGGTTTTAATGCTTAGTAGAAAAGGGAAAGTATACCGTGCTTTAGAATGATAGAATCACCAAGGTTGGAAAAGACATCCAAGATCATCCAGTCCAACCGTTCGCATATCCACCAATATTTCCCACTAAACCATGTCCCTCAGCACAACATCTAAATGTTTCTTGACATCTTCTCTGGGGTCAGTGACCCCACCACCTCCCTGGGCAGCCCATTTCAGCACACAACCTGATGTTGTTTCAGGAGTCTAATGACTCCTGAAAACACTACTGTGAAAAGAGGAACTACACGTGACTGGATCTTGCAGGTTATTTTATAAGCCAAAATAGCTTTGTCATTATACTTGTGAGGTTGCAGCACTGTCTGAGCATAATTGAGATTTTGAGAAGTGTCTGCTGAAGGTCACATCTCACTTCCATACTCAAGTACCACTGCTGCTTTTTGGGTTTGTTTGTGGTGAAAGTAAGGTTATGTGCTGAAAAGTTCATCTTTCCAAACACAGGGAGGAAAAAAGGAAGAACAGAGGGTGAGAGCCCCCATAATCTGATAGGGAAAATAGAGCTCCTGCCAAGGGTTGTCCCAGACATACCATCAGTCCCTTGTCTGGGTATGACACCCTCCAGACAAATCAGTGAGAGAAGTGCTTGTATGTGTGTTTGTGTGCAGCAAGGGCAGAGCTGGGGTGTGGGACTTTGGCTGCCTCGCCTCGGCTGTCTTGGGTGGCTCCCACAATAAACCCAAATGGTGGAGAGTTCCTTTATGAACTACATTTCTCTTACTGTGCCAAAGATTCACCAGATTATATTCTCCAGTTTTATAGTTTGTTTTTAATATGTGATAAGCTCCATCAAATGTTTTCTGTTATCTGTTACTGAAGGGTAGGTTAAATAGTTGCATAAAACATATAAAAATCACTTCATCCACCATACTTTTTGCTTTCTATAAATCACCTCAGTTAGTATTTGTTTTCTTATGGATATCAGTGTATTTTGAATGAATATTGCTGTGGGGATTGGTCTCCATTAACAGGAAAAGTGTTTGAGAGCATAAAGTGTTGTCAGTAAGCAGAACATATCTTAAAATCCACAAATTTCACAGTATTAGGAGCAAATTTTATCCAAGCTGTAATATTGCTAAGCTGGATAAGTGTATTCCGAGTTCTTTAAAAATAGTGTTGAAGCTTTTATACAAGTGAATAATGAGAGCAACATATTGCACAAGTATCACTGTCTGTTTTGTTATGCACAGTTCTGTATTCCTCTATGTAAAACCAGAAACCAAAATCTCTGACCCAGCTGGGCTGGGCCACCTTCTCATGAGACCAGCAAACAGGTCCTGACTCATTTTGTTTGCTGATGCAATGGCATGTACTTCTTCTTCACATCGACGTGGGAGAAGGTGAAAGGTGGCAGGAAGAGACAGCCCAGAGATTGCAGGATGACGTGCAATGCCTCCGAGACCGTGTCAACAGTTGGACACCTGAGCTCAGACACACACAATAGTTGTGGGACTTGGCCATACCTGTTCTAGTTTTTCTTTTTTTGTTTTAATTGCTGTTGGTGGCGAAACTTTATTTATGCCCTTTGAACAATGGCATTTCGTTAAGCAGTAAATGGAGACATGACTCTATCCCTTTCTTATTTTGGGGGGCTCTAACTGCCTTCAAATTAACGATGATGCTCAAATTGTCTGTGGCAGAGTAGCACCAGCCTCTCACAAAGAAGGATGGATGTGAGATCAGCAATTTGGAAAAGGAGAATCAGCCATCCATCATCTGTTAGACCCTCAGCACGCCCATAGCATTCAGCATAACGAGAGGAAGTACTTATGCAGTAAATATCACAGACGATTTGCTCTGAGATATCTAAAGATGACTGGAGAACAACTAATTAGTTCTGCATTTCTCAGGCCGTGAGGCACAGTGCTCTGGTGAGGAGCGCTGCTAATCAGGCATGAGGCATTTCCCGCCTCAGACTCAGATGACACACACTGTGATGAAACTTGAAGATCCTTAATCAAGTGAGCTCTTTGGGGAAATGAAGCACAACCGAAAGGTTCAGAAGGCACTGAATTTACTCATTTGAGACTATTTATTAATGTTTATAATCCCCTACATCAAATACTAGCAATAATTTTGTTACGGACAGAAGTATGAGGTGTGCCCTCTGTCAGAATCCTGGATCTTCTGGCTTCTCTAAATGAACACAACACGAAAAATGATATGTAGCAGTCACTTTTTTTTTTTTCTGCCTGCCCAGGAAATTGAAACAATTTGGTAATATTTAACTAACTATTAGTGAAATTAGTGGAATACAGTCAGTTTGTAACCTGATGCACTATTATTTTATAAATTGTTTTTCCAGGCCCAGAGATAACTACTACTAGTCTACTGTGTGGTACTAAATGGAATTGTATAATTGTGATGAAGATATTTCCTCAAACAAATTATGTTGCAACCAAATCCAATGATGAAATTTTATCTGTGCTGTCGACAGCCCCATTTGCTCCTGCATTCAGCCTCCCGCTGCTGAACAAGCCTGGACAGATCAAAGCAGCAGAAACTAGCTTGGGTTTAGCATGGTTAGGCATCCAGGCAGAGGAACCCAAAGCGTGTCAGGATTTGTGCCCTGTTCTTCATGTTGAGAACCGGCTCAGACTTCATCCTTGCACAATGCTGTCTAGGTTTGTATGATAAAAGCATTTTATGTCTAGATGGGAACATTGTTACTGAAAGAAGTGATCTAACCAGAGTATGATCTGTCCATGCTTAACCCTGGTGTCTGCACGGAGTCTTAGCTTTGGATCTGTATCCTTTCCAAAATCCCTACATAAGAAGCTGCCTGTGATCAGCAGCAATATTTCACATGAGAACTTCTCACTCCATTTTACTGCAGTGGCATATATTAACTTAAATAATATTAACAAAGCATCTTTATATTTGATCAAACAAAGTAATGTCTTAAAACATTAGCTTGAACTATTCAAAATCATTTCTAAAATAGAGCTTCTGAGTGAAATGTGAGGAAATCTCGGGGCAGACCAGAAGGGTGGGAGCATGCACAAAGGCTGTGCAGAGCATAGGGCAGAGGACAGCAATCTATTGCACCAGGGTGAATGGATCAGAAAATAACAGCCCCCACAGCCATAGCTAGGAAGCATGTAGAAAACCCAGCTGATCTGGTCTGAGACATTTAATGTAAATGTATTTTTACGCAGTAAATAATTAATTCCATATGCTTCCTTCTTCATACTGTTTTCCTTGCCTTTGCTAAATCATGTCTCAGTTTTAAAAGCAAACAGAGTGAAGCTAAATGTCAGAAGAGTTTATTTCCAGATGAGTGATGCAATTATTAACAAGCAAGTAATCAAGCCCTTCATAATATAAAATTCAGAGCATACCTTTAACATTTTGACTGGAAGTATAAAAAGTGCAATTAAATCAATGCACTTCCCTAT